GTCATATGATAAAGTTTTTGATTCCAACACCAGGAAGTCGTGGTATGTATATATATTTCGCCATACTAAGGAATAGAAAGCTACTCTCACAGTATCTGGGAGACTGTATTTGCCATCTTTCTTTCTATGAATACGTTTAACATCGATAACACCTCGAAATTCAACCCCCTCCAATACTTTAATAATACTACCATCTAGCAGTAATTAGTTTATTTGAAATTCTTTCCCGTCTACGAACACCATACTCTCATATGAGTCATAGGCAAAAGTTTTGAACTTTTTGTATATTTGAACATAAGTTTTTGATACATATTAGGGCCGTAAACGCAGTCGGCAAAATTAAAAATAGACATACTAACGTAGTCAGTAGTTTTACATCCGTCGTTAAAAAATGTCTGGCTACGTATAATGTTTTCACATTGATGACGACAGTGCACTTATCTCGTTATTCCATTTGGATTCCAGGACATCGGCTGTGGGTGCACATCTCCACCGGCAGCAGGATGTTGCCTATCTTAATGAGGATCTAGATATGAGTTTGATTTGGGGTGAATGTAACCAGATTCAATTCAATCCCGCGAAAACCCAGTTATTGGTTTTCAGCGAAAAGATAAATGTCCAGATATAATAATGTCAGAATAGACAATTTCGCTGTCTGCTTCAATAAGTTTGTTGGTGGATTTCAAATGGCACAATCATGTCGCTGGAATTGCAAAAATTGCTTCTCAAAAACTTGAAACACTGTTCCGAACCAGAAAACTATAGACACTTCGGCAACTTTTGTTGCTTTATAAAGCTCAGATCAGACCTTCTTTGGAGTATTGTTCTCATGTATTCTCTAAGCATACCCTGAAGCTGCTGGATCCAGGAAAAAGCCATCCACTTGATTGGAGATACGATCATCACTGGACATTGTTCTTCTCATTTATAATCAGGCGACACACAGATCTATATCTATTTCAAACCTGAAGACGTTGATAAGGCTTGTGCACAAGTTGATAAAGACATCAATAGTTTTGTTGAAACTGCAACTGATCATTGTCTAGTTAACAGCCCAAAAAAGTCATATGTTTTGATATTTGGGCCAAAAAATGTCAGGGAGAAGATTTCTTGACAAGGACCTGTCCATTGTAGATCAAGCGAAAAGTCTGGGACTTATTCTCGAAAGTAATTTAAGATTCGAAACACACGTAAAAAAAATTATTCAAAAGGCTAATGAAACTCTTAAGATTGTTTATGGAAATAGAAATTTTCTTACAAAAGCAACAAAAATAATGTTATGTGATAGTTTAGTTTTGTCTACTCTGAATTTTGCTGATTCAGTGTACGGTCCAGTGTACGAAAGCATATGAACGGGTTGGTTGAATATGGAAATGCGTAGGCGGTTGCATGCAGTTTGCTTATTTCACCGAATAATCATAACGAAGATTCCGATTTGCTTATATGAAAAAATTTTATTTCGATCCGATGTTCATGCAATCGATTTTCGATTTAATGTTATTTTAACACCACCAATTTTCCATCATGAATTCTTTAAACGGTCCTTCAGTTGCCAAATTGGCTACGTGTACAACGTTATTCCAAACGAAATTGAAAAAATGAATGTGATTAGTTCTAAGTACTACTATAAGACTGTTTTGTGGAAGCAATAAACCAAATAATACATTCCAGATCCCTAAGTGGTCGAGAGTCCCTATTATTGTTTTTTTTCAAATTCTGTATTATAGGCATATTCCATAATGTTGTAATGTTGATTTGAACTTCGCCTTTGACGTCAGCCCTAGGATCATCAATGTTCCAAATGAAAAACAATCTATATGTATCCTAGATTGACAGAATAAAGACACATTATTATTATTACTTGCAACCTTGATAGTTTGGAACATCGAAGAAAGGATACCTTTATAGTCTGGAACATCGAAGAAAGGTTAGAAATTTGTTTCTCTGTTATAGATACTTTCATGGAAGGTGTTCAAGTGATTTCTCACATTTGATTCCACCAAGAGCGGAACATATCACAAATAAGCAACGGACTATAGCTGCTCATCGTTTTAAGGTTCAACTCAGTACATCTTGCTACTTTCGCACAGGCACCGCTCTTAAAGCGCCTCATACATTTTCCTGCAGTGCTTGTGTTTTGTTCTTGAAAAAAATCATGTATTTTCCGAATCTGAAATTACAGTCTCCACACGAATGTTTTTGTTCCACAAGATCGCGGACGTCTGGCAGAGACGAATCGCGGACCTTTGTCCCTTCTATGTTTCTCCTATGTAAACAAATGGTCCTATGTTCACAGAAGTGATGGTGGGGGAGGCGGTCGCCCTCCTGCCAAATCCTCACAACGTGTTTCTCTGTGTTCATCCTCAAAGTGATGTTGACTTCAACATATAATTTTGCGAAAACGTTGGCAAATATCCTTGTTCAATTGATTTTAATCGTGTTGGTAGAAAATTGCTGATAAAATACACCAAATCCAACATATCTTCGTCACTGCTTGAAAAAGCCACGTTAAAGTCCACAAAACCAACAAGTTACTGACGTCACCGTACATAATTAAACAGAAGTGAATTCACTCTCCCGTCGGCTTCTTTGATGTTTCGGGTCGAGATTTTATTTTTTGCTGGCATGTGGCGGGGCAGGAGGGTATCGGCTAAGAGCTGTTGTGCACTTCTGCACGAGGTGACCATGATCTGACTTCATCATTGCTATGAGGAGCTCCCAATAAATGTCTCATTTGATTATGAACTGTTTAGCAATTGATAAAAAATAAGACAAGGTGGTAAAATAAACGTATATTTTGTATAGTAAGATTATACAATTTAGGACAAAAACTTATGCTAAATAAGGATGAGAAATGTTGATTCTTGAAAACATTGTTTTGTGCTGGTTGCCTATGCAATCATATGGCACATAAATTATATAAATCATAAGGAAATTCTGTCTCTAGATGAATGTAAAAATGAATCTATAGGCATAAATAAATTTCCAAACTGTTTGGCTTCTGTATCACTGTATGTCTTGAAATAACTATATACATTTGTTTCATTCAGTGTGATACTAGCTGCCGTGGCATGAACGTTTTTCTAAACATTTTCCCAAAAGATATCCATAAACATAGCCCAAGCTGTTGCCTTCGCGAATGGCTAGAGTTCTACGATAATTTGTTAACGTTTATAGGGATTTTTGGAACTTCCACAAGAATCTTCACTTTTTTAATGTCAGAATCTGTAATATTATATAGAATCTCACTAGTATCTTCTAGACAGTTAGTTCCTTCTGCCTGTGTGGAATACTGAAGAGTAAATGTGTTTTGAAAGCTCTGGTTATTTGAACAGTAGTTGGGTTTCTGGCATTACCACAAGTATTTCTCTGTTGATCAAAATAATTTTCCACACAGTCCTGATGAATATTCCTTATCACTATATAGGAGTGTCCTTCACTATGTAGGGTTTCTCAAAGTTGCAGAAATCGTTATCTGCCACCCCTCTATGATTCTCATTTGTCCAGTCGTGTTTTTTCCTTTTTTTGATATTACAGTTGATTTTCTGAAAAATATTTACATTTCTTTCATGAAATCTATTTGTTTTGATCTTCTGAAAAAAAGGTTTATTGAAATGTTTGACATCGTCGAATCGATTTGAATTCAAAATATCAAACACCTTATCCATTTTTTCAATGGATGTAGCCGTCCCTATTGTTGCAAATGGTATCTAATTGAAACTATTGGCATAAGTATTCATCGCTGTAGCTACAGAATGACTGAAAACTTGACTGGCTAATTCAACTTTCATCCTTTGAAAGTTAGTTGAAAATTATTGAGAATCAGTAAGTTTGGGTGCTAGTCTATATTGCTTTTCTTTATCCAAGTTTTTGTCCGTTGTAAATTCATAAAATTTCAAAAAGCCATCGAAAAAATGGTTTCTGCTACATTTCAGCAGATGAGAAGTACCAGGCAAGTGTATAAAAATTAAAACCTAAATCTGAAATGATACCCTCTCAATCCAATTTTTGATAATTGCCTAACAGCTTCAATCAGAATATTTTTTATATTCAGTATTGATGTGGATGAATTGGTAAGAAAGTATGCAACAGTAAGTAGGCTCCAAAAAAGGTTATTTGAATATACATTTGATACTTTAGTTTTGCAGAGATTTCAGTGGAAGTAATATTTTTCCTACAGATACATACTAGCCAAATCGAAAAATGTGGTTCAACAATGATCTTCCTTTGTGGATTTCCAGTGGATCTCCCATTGTTTTGTCATTCCATATCATTACTTGTGAGGCCTATACTTTTCGTAAACTTCAATTTCATCCAAATTAATTTCACAAAAAAAAGTCTGCATGTATATGGTCTATAACAATTGATTTTATGATTTTCCTTATATGTATTCCTTCAATCACATACCTTTTTTCGTCAGTTGGAAATCTAAAAAAATTAATGCCGACATCACCCTGCAAATTACAGCAACCCACAGCTCGACCCTTGTTCATTTTAAAACTAGACACGAATTTTTCACAAATACAAAACTATCATTTACAACGACTCACTCTGTACTAATATTCCATGTCTTTACTTGGCTCGCTTGGTAAACGCCTCAGATTCAGTCGGTTGCGCTATAGTTCGGCCGCGCATAGAATTCGAGATGGGGAATTTTGACCCAAATATGGCGGATAGTGAACTTACTTCTGTTTACTTCTATACGGTGCTGACATCTTTTCTCGCATTCTCGCCACTGTCCCGCCCCTCTGTGCGCATTGCATACGTCACGCTTCCGTCATGCCGAAGCCTCGTCTCTGCCAGACGTCCATTCTGTGTGGATTGGGCCTAAGATGAAAAGACTCGAAGACGAAAGATGCATTCATTAATGAATTCCACTGAAGTTTGGCATTTGGAAGTTAAATGAATACATCACCTACAAACTGTTATCAGTGCTTTCTTAGGCTTATACGAAAGTTAAGTCTAAAGCATTTGTGTTGATTGAGTAAGACAAAAAAAAATCAGAACTGTAGTTATTTTTTACTTATAAATCCGTACAATGAAACTGACAGCCTCGTCATTTTTTAAATATTTTCTCTGTTCATATATTAAGAACACTAAGAAACAAGTGAAATCATCGTTTTGTTTCAATAAGTCTATCAACTACATCGCTCTTTGAAGTTGCCTTCTTGACTTCAAAATGGTTGATCACTCGACGTCATTTATTCTATATCGTTGTCTTATCTACCAAATGTTAGAAGCGTATTAAGTGTTGAATTTTTTTCGATGGTTTATTGAAACCTTCATTTAACATCTTCTCCTAAGCTCAATTCTTCCTCCAATTCTTCACATTCGCTATCCTTGGCTTCTCTCCATTTGGCAGGCAATCTCAGGAACATGAAAATTTTCCTGTTCGCTAAAGATCTTATCACTTTCTTACGCAATACAACCAGAATTAGAAATATGATCAAACCCTGTAAGGCATTGAGAGCATCAGTGATATACCTGAAACAAAGAATCGAGATTCAGTATTTGAAAACTAAAATTAGGTACTGGAAGTAAAACGGTGAAAGAAAAGGTTGAATTTTTCAGTCTTTGTTTTGAAGCTAATACAGAAGTTTATGGCCAGCACAATTTATCAAGTAGATATTGTTTTTAATGTTTTCGTGTACGAAACCACGACTGTTGAATGAAAGAAAGAGGAAGAATGTGTTTACATATTTATACCTTACGATAGCGCATCTGCGGTTTCGGTTAGAAGAGTTTGCATTCACAAGGAATCTACTAAAATTTCCAGCAGCCCAGCAGGAAAGGGGAACTAGGGGTATGATGGGGACGCTAAGGGAAAACAATAAAAAACTACAGTGAAAATCAACATAACCTTTTCATTTATTAATGGCACTTTAGTTTCTTAGATAATAATGTTATCCCAAATTTATACTAATTATTATTATTTAAGAGACCAAAAAAAACCCGTCTTGTCCCGTATCTGGGGTATGATGGGGTTGAGGGGGCAAGACATATGAGTACTTGTTCTAAGTTTTATCATCCACCCCGCAACATGCAGTATGGGCCCATCGCTCACAGAGTTGACATTTCACCCAATTTTCGGGAGATTTCAGGTAAGTGTGGTTTGTATCATTGCAATAAAAACAAACGCTATATTCTTGTCCTGAAGTTGATGGCCTGGTCTTTTTCTGAACTTTACTATGTTTGGTAGTAACGTTCTTGAACGATTTACTATTTTTAGCTGGAACCTCCTTTGATGATTTACTTCTTTTAGCCGGAACGTTCTTTGACAATTTTAAAGCTTCAAGTTCCTTTTTATATGAAGTTGAGGTTATTACCGCTGTTTCACCTCTTCAATATTTTTTCCTTTGTTCGTTCATTTGAACTGCAGGTATTGGCGATATATCTTTAGGTGAAACATTTTCAAAACTAGAAGTTAAATCACGGCAGACGGCTCGTATAGGAGAACGAATTCGCATGGAACTTCCTGCTTGCACTTCAAATAATAGTGAACAATGTTGTTGTGGAGAATCACCATTGGATAGTTGAAGTGGCATACGTTGATTTCCGGAAAAAACAGGCGCAAGAAGATCTTTTTGAATCGATTGAGTTTCAGGTGTACGAGTTGCTGACTCTGAAGAGGGAAGATTTGCAGAACTTGACGGGGATAGTATTTCAGGTGTAGTATGAGGCTCTTTATCCATGAACTGAACGTTGACAACGCTTGACGGGGTTGATACTTCATGGCCTGGATCAGGTACTGACTCAGTTGATGGAAGATTACCAGAATGTAATAAAGATGGTGACTCAAGTCCGGTATGAGGCTCTGTCTCCGTCGACTGAGCGTTGACACCGCTTGACGTGGTTGATTATTCACGTCCAGGATGAGGATCTATGTGTGCGTTGCTCTTTATTAACAGTAGGTTGATAGACTTCGACGTATCTGCATTGTCTTGAACTAATGGTATGTTTGTAGTTTCGGCAGCTATGAAATCAACATCAGTAAAATTGTCTTGGTTGTATGGCCATATACCACACTTCCTGAAGCTGTTAACCGCTGTGTACATTGTAGCTGCTTGCATGTAAGCTTGCCCAAATATTTCACTTATTTGGAACATGGTGATCACACTGGAATTAAATGTAATGCATCATATATTTCACCGAGAAGCTGGTAAAATTTTCTAACCGCTACTCTGTTGAATCCCATAGCGCGAGCTGCCGTTGTTGCCTCTGGTTACGAATCGATAATCCAGGATGGCATTTTAAAAATCCTTTTAGCCAATCAACACCTGCTATCTCTTCTTCTGTATTAAAATTGTGCTTTTTATTATTTCTTTAGGCCAACTCGTAAGCCAGCCGCCCCAAATCGAGAGTAGTTAAGCCAAAAAGTCGTTCTTCCATACTTCTTCTTCTTGCGAAAAAACAGGCTTTATAGGTCCCAGTGGTAAGCCAACGGTAATTTCTTCACCTAACTCAATTTTTTTGACGTAACGCTTCAAAGTTGTTTGAGGAACACCATATTATAAAGCTGCCTTTCTGTATCCTGATTCTTCACTCAAAACTTTGTCTACAGCTGCTCTCATGGACTATTGTGACCACTCTCCTCTTTTAGTCTTTTTTTTGTAGTTTCTAACCATGTTTAATTTGAAAAACAAAAATAATATCGATCGATATATCTATAAACAATAACAAATAAAGCAAATTCTATGGAAGTAATCTTGTTTCGTGATCTGAAGTGCATTATGGGGTAATACCCCATTATGCCCCGTTCGATTTTCACCATCTTGCCACAGTCACTGTGTTCAAAGAAAATATTTTTTTTTTAAATACACGGTTAGGTCTAATACGATTTTGAATATTCCTTTCAACTGGCAGAAAAACGTAAACCAAAGGAAAAAATAATCATAAGTTCAACGCTATTTCTTACCTGTTTCTGAAGTTGTTAAAAACACAAAATATTACATCAATTATGCACTTTTACAATAATTTTATTGTAAACAAAGAACGCACGCACTTTTGCCGACTGTCATGGCCGCACTGAGTATTCGAAAGCGGCTTCTGATTGGCTAAAGCGTCACCTCGCAGAAGCGTTTAGTTTTTGGTATGTGTACGTGACCCCGTCTTACCTCGCTACTCCATCATGCCCCTAGTTATACAACGATGAAACTAATTGTATATAGTATTTTAATTCATATCAACCCCACATATGTGCCGTTGGATTCTGATGATGAATCCGTACGTTCCTATTTTTCACAAATACATCATACTGACAATTACTAAGAGTCCTGTGCTTTTCAAAATGTTCTCTCTGTATCCGATACAATTTATCTTCGATTATATCAAAATACTCGATAAACCTTTTCACGCTGCCTCCGTGATAATTTCATCACATTTGTACGGCTGGTTTCTGTTCTCGACTCCGTACATTTATTGGTGTTTCTTGTAACCAAGCATTGTCCATCTCTAATAACCTGAACCACCGTATAGAAGTAAACATAAGTAAGTTCACTCTTCGCCATATTTGGGTCAAGATTCCCTTACAGCGCAACTAATGAATCTGAGGCGTTTACCAAGCGAGCGAAATTGAGGCATAGAATATTATTACAGAGTGAGTCGTTGTAAATGGTGGTTTTGCATTTGTGAAAAATTTGTGTCTGGTTTCAAAATGAATAAGTGTCAAGCTGTGGGTTGCTGGAATTTGCAGGGTGATGTCAGCAATAATTTTTTTCGATTTCCAACTGACGAAAAAAGGTATGTTTCTCTAATATTCATTATGTAAGATCGAAGGAATGAACATATAACGAAAATCATAAAATAAATTGCTGAAGATCATAATAGTGGGATCATTAATATTCAAAAATGTTATATGAAATCAATTTGATGAAATTGAACTTCACAAATAGTATATGCCTCACAAATAATGATATAAATTGACAAAACAATCGGAGTTCCACTGGAAATCCATACATGAAAATAATTGTTGAACCACAGCAAGTTTTTAATTTGGCTAGTATGTATCTGTATGAAAAAAATGACATCGACTGAAATCTCTGCAAAACCAAAGTATCAAATGTATATTCAAAAAACTTTTTTGGAGCCTACTTTCCATTTATATGTTCTAAATAATCTACTATAAAAAGCAAATATGTTTATTCTCACATTCTGTCATCAATAACAAAAAACATTAGAATTTCATTTGACTGATACACTTCATAATTAGCAAACTAGGCCACCCAAAACTATGAAATCTGTATTTTATACTGAAGTTTTGATTTACAACAACCAACCCAATAATATAAAAAAGTTATTTCAGAAAAACGGTTCAAAACCAAACGAAATTTTCATTTTACAGTGTGAAAAAGCCAAATGGAATAAACCCATTATTTCGGTTACTGTACATATTTTGAAAAAATCACGAAATATGTCAAATGTCTATTATAATTTGACATTATTCAACGTAAAAATGTCACCGCTACCTACAACCCTCTTCAAATGACAGGTGCAATACCCAATTTTTTGAATTCAAAAATGTTATCGCTTTCAAGTCTATTGCAACAATTAAGATAAAATAGATATTACTGGAGTTTTTTCCCAACACCAAATCGTTGTTTCTAACACCTCGACACTTGTTTCGATCACCAAGTGATCATCTTCTAGCGGAAGATTAAACAGTTCAAGCTTCCTCTTGAAGATGATCACATGGTGATCGAAACACGTGTCGAGGTGTTAAAAACAACGATTTTGTGTTGGGAAAAAACTCCAGTAATATTCATTACTACTGCATTACCAGTACGATAAAATAAATTAAAATCATGTGGTTACCGAAATTCGATAAAATACACTCAACTAAAATGTAATGCAAATCGTAATGAAATGTAGAATACGAAAAAGAACTATGGATGTTAACGTAGTAGATGTTCGAAATGTTCACCGCGAACATCTTGGCAACATCCTAATCTCAAATAAAACTGTCTTCTAACATTATTTAACATATCAGACGTGACCGACCTAATCGCAAGCGTTATTCGTTCTTTTAGGTCATTCAAATCTGAAGGTTTAGTTTTGTACACATTGCTGTTCACATATCCCCATAAAAATAAATGTAATGATGAAAGATCAGGTGATCGCGATGACCATTCAATCAATCCTCGCCTCCCTATCCACCGATTGGGAAATGTTGTATCGAGGTATTGCCGGACATTAACTTGGTAATGTGCTCCATCCTGCTGAAACTATATCGTATTCACTGGAACTTGAGAGTTTTCTGGATCAGTATACAAACTAAACTTGAAATGACATCATTTTGAAGTAGTGCCTAATAATTATCGCCATTCAAGTTTCCTACAATTAGTTGACCAGTAGCGGCAATTTTGCCGATTAGCATGACCGTTAAGAGACAATCACTAGAAAACATAACGTCTTCTAATTGTTGTCCAACATGTCCATCATTTGCTCACAAAAATAAATCCTTCTATCAAAATCATCTTCCATGAGTTCCTGAGTAGGTATCATTTTATAGGGATGCATTTTATTTTCTCTCAATATGTTTACTATCGATGTATTGCTAACATTGAATGTAGTGGATGTCTGTCTACTCGATGTATGTGGGTTTTCCTCAAACCCAAGTATCACATCTAATTTGAGTTCATCACTCATTGCATTGGCAGCTGCTTTTTTTATCTGCCTCACATGACCAAGCTCGCGAAACTGCTTCTCTATTTTGCTTATTGTTCCTTGAAATGTGGGCGGTAAGTTATGAAATTTCTCATGAAATATTTCAATCATTTGTAAAACTGTTTTATGTATTTCCGNGAGTTAGGAAGAGTTCTGTGGTATTTTATTTTGGATAGGGTGCATGAGCGAACTGGTTTGCGTCAGATATTCAAGGGTAATGAAATATGAAGCAGTGTTGCGAAATTTTGCTTCATGTGTAGCCACTTTATAGTTCATCCTGTTGGCAACACTGGAAGCGAGTTGCTCGAATGCTGAACAAACGGTTCAAGTGATGAATGAGATGGTTGTTGCTGTGAAATATGTTGATCGTTACATTAATGCGTCCATCGAAATGTGGAACTGGAAAACCTATATTATTCGAAATAAGTCGCTGAAATCCTCAAGGCGGGCACAGTTCGGTTCAATTTAAAATATTTGCTTTCTCTATTTATCAAAATCACCACTATCACAAGAATAAAGTCCACGTACAGATACTCAATATAATTGAGCTCCTTGAAGGGTTCACACTAATGCCTTGTGGTATTAAGGAACGGCCTTTTCTCCCAGAGAACTGATCAACTTTGATAGAATTCTCAGTAGTTCAGAAATTGATCAGATAAGGATTACGTTCAAAAGACCTTGTAGGTGGCAGTAGTGAAATTGACTACCGATGCCACTTCACATTTTACAAAAATAATAATTTCCACAATTGCTACTATAATTATCAAAAATTAGGATTTCATAGGTACTGCTTACCTGTAAATCTAACATCTGAGGAACGATTAAGTACACCCATACTGTCAATATAATAAAAAACACAGATACTATTTGGAATCCTACATCAACTGATCTCACTGTTTTTGTTGATGATATATCTTCATCATCCACACACCAAAGAATGGATTCAAAATATTCTCCAGAGAAAGTGGTGACACAAAAACTAGAAGTGAAAAAATTGAAGATTTAGAAACACATAGGTTCAGTTTTCCAAACATTTATCTCAAATCAATGGAAAAAACTCGTTTATTAGTTTTTTCCTAATCGTTATTCTGAAATGTCAAAGTGAAAAATTAATTTGAAATAATTAACTTTCCAAAATCTGCAAAAAATTTTTTTAATGCAACTGAGATTTTCTCTCATTTGCCGCAAGTCATCATTAAACCATTTCATTCTTGTTTTCCCTTGTCCAAAAACTTGTTTCAGTGGAAAACACTGGTCGGCATAATGTGACAGAGTTTCTAAACAATTGTTTACAAACCCATCTAAATTGTGTATACTAGTGTTCCAATTTACATTCATTAATTTAGATTTGAATTTGGTAATATTTGTATCAATAATTTGTTTTCTCCATTTTTTCAGGTGAATCACTATCGGCTAGTAAACTTATATATTGACCATAGTGATCTGACAGGCAAGGTTCAATTATACCTGTTTTGGAGATCCTTCATTTCAGAGGCATCCATAAAAAACGAATGGATGACCTTTTGCCTCCAGTTTCCAGGAGTGCCACAGTTATATCTCCGAATACTTCTAGGCGCAACAGCAATAGCAATAGTGAGATACAGAGAAGAAATGACTATGGGAGTCTCTTTGAAACACACTTCTCTAGAAAGTGACACGCTCTATTTTTAATAAAATTCTTAAGGGTTTTGAAATATCAGGGTAGCGCCGCGAAAAAACACTGTATGAATATTAAATATCTTCACGCATGCAAATTCGATGTCCGGTTGAAATGAACGATTCCAATTTTTGCCTGGGTGTGCAGATTTAATGGGAACAAAAATGAGTTATGGAAAAAAATCTTATCTTTTGTTTTGGTAGGAGAGAGTGTATAGATTTGGAAAAGATTGGATGAATAATGCCTATTACTTATCGTTATTGAGAGATTCTTCACCATTTCACTCAAAATGTGTGAATTTAATTTTGGGTTATAGTATATTCCGGAGATCGCTAAATTTTCTTTGATAATAGAGGATTAGTCTATGGTGTAATAATTATCTAACGTCTCATGGTTTTTGCACATAAGGAGTTTTATAATACCGTTCCGACTTTTTTTTCCAATTCTCCCGAGAAATAGAAGTTTGTTGCAGTTTTCGATGTGATCAAAGGATTGGATATTTTTTTGGAACTATGAAGCCCGACTTCTATTCATCATTGATCTAAAATAAGACAACTGATACGAAAACTGATGAAGCCTTACTTTATCTCGTGGAACGTCCAGATTTGTTTCGCTTGAGGACATGGTGATAAGTATCACCCAGTGGATGTTGTTCAAGGCATGTGGTATCAGTTGTTCAAGGCATCTCACTATTTTGTCGGGTACCGCAAAGCATCTGAGTAAATGCTTGATGTTCTATAGGATATTGTATTGAATGCCTTGCGGTCCAGGCCATAGAAACGTTACGCTTATATTGTATCAAGTCCTGCGTCGTCATCCATTGATGAGCAGGTTATCTTTACATCCGCCGTCTTCAGTCTACTTCACCTCCTGAAGACGCTAACTTTGAATGGGACTCAAATAATTAGTTGTTCAGTATTCAAAGAAGAGAAATTTGATCGTCGTATCACACAATCAACTAAGTATAGAAAAAGTGAACGTTGACGAAGAATCCCTACATTCATCAAGATACCCATCCTTTGTGAAATATTGAAAAATCAGTATATGGTTCCCATACCAAGCCTGATTAAAATATAATTTTAGACTGACGCAACAAAAATACATTCCTTCTTGTTCATGAATACTTAAAAAAAATTTGCTCACCAAATCCATTTGTAGTTTTCAAGAAGAGCAGATATGACCTCAAAAATCCAAGTGATTCCCATGATGAAAAATAGTTTGACATACATCTTCAACCTGAAATGTCTCATTTCGAAATATTTGACAAAATTATACAGGAAATTTATAACTCACCTATATTTTAAAATTTTTGTCTTGGAGCAATTTTTCGAATGAGTCCACAAAACAATAGTAGTCCATAAAAACAAAATGATATTCACAAGTAACAGCACTACCATTGGCCCATAAAAATATATGAACCTCCCGTTCTCCGCTGAAAAACAAAAAGTACAAATGAAGAATGAAAATAAAAAATAAGTACCTATCATACAGTTTGAAAAATATCGACCTTCAAATTTTGGTATAATTTGTGAAACAACATAGTGTTTGAGTGAGAACTGGTCAAAAGTCGAAACTGAAACGTCATTGCTTTCAAAAACAAAAAGTTTTGCTAGGCAGCAATTACGGTATCAGGTACCGTAATGTTCAATTTACCGGCCGCAAATGAGTGAAGGGTGAGTTGATTCACTGAACAAAATGAAATAAAAATTATTGAGCTTATCGTCCACTTGTTCGGCACAGCACGACACGGACCATCCCGTCAAAATACGGATAGGATTGGAACAATAGGTTTGTTCTGGTTCTAACATCCGAAACTGTTTGGAAACTGCGCAAGACATGGTGCGTACAAACAAAAAATCTCAAACAGTCCGAAATAGTCTCTTGTTTAAACCAGAACGCTTTTGAGGAGACTACTGTGCCACCTATCGTATATATGAAGAGATGAATACGAAAAAATACTATTAATCATGTCCATTTTGTTATGTAGCGTATCCCTATAGTCAGTTCGAATGTTATCTACCCTTAATCATCAATTATTCAAATCAAATAAATAAAAAAACATCCTAGCAAATAGCCCAAACAAATTTCCACACGAATGCGCATGAGCAACGGGAACAGTTCTTAACAGTTCAGCCTCGATAGCAAGAACGATTCGGGACGGTTCAAAACAGTTTAGGATCATTTCGCAGTCGAAACCAGAACAGAGGATTCATCAGTCCGAAATTATCCTCAATAAACCAGAACGCTCTATATCAACTGCGCATGATCCAGACGTCCTAGAACCTGAATTTCGTAGAACCAGAACAAACCAAATGAAAATGAATGGACAACCGCCCACTAGCCCGGCACGGCACAGCCAAGAGCGTCCGTCGCCGGCCAGTGCTTGCCAGCATCAACTTGTCCAAAAGTGCCTCGGAAGTTTCAGTCTTTCTGTTTTGCTATTCAATCAGTTGACAGCACAGTGTCGGACGGTACCTATGAAAATGGACGAGGAAAAATTGAGTTTCTTATTAAGGCAGGCTAGGCTCGAGAATATCCAGAAGTTCTGAAAATTTGCCTGGAGTCATTCGTAAATACTGGAAACATTTCGCCTCGTCTTCTTTCAGATCGTTGTAAAGATCTCAGAACTCTCCTAGATTTGCCCCCTTTGATTAATGGGATGGACCCACAACATTTTTTTTTGTGACTATTTTCTTCTACATTCAATTATGCGGCCACTATAATGACGACTTCTTCGTCAGAACTGTTAGTGATAGACATATTTCTATCACCACTCGATTTACTTCAAGTGAAATTCCCTTGAAATTGAACAAACAGCACCTTCAGTATGCTGGTTGTAGCTGGACAAGTGGGCGATGGTACTACCCGTTGCCATCAGCCGACGGACAGCGCCGTGCTGTGCTGTGCCGGACAAGTGAGCGACAAGCTTTATTCGTCTAAACTTAAATGACGTGTTTTCTGTTTTTTTTAACCCACGCCCGTTTCGGCGTTAGAGAAGTACGCCCTGTATAGATTTTGCTCCTCAAAATGTAGACAGATAAAAATATTTTTGTTTCATATCCAATTATCACATTCATAAAGAAACATTTAGAAATATTTTTTATACGTTTTGGCACCAAAATATTTTTGAATATTTCAAAATTCAGGTGTTTCAGAATACTCACATTCGAACCAACACGATACTTGTCCTATTCCTGGATGAATACTCCGAAAATATTCAATATCTGTGTAATTAACAAATATAAGGAAAGTCAGTAAAAATAGGGGGGTCCCGATTCCATAGATGTGATAATATAGACTCCACTTCTCGACTGAGCGGATAACTTGTGGATTTCTGAAACAAATTATTGCCAATATATTTCAAACAATGAATATGATTATTGCAATTATGTTATACGGAAAATATGCGGAATAAAGAAAAAATCTACGATTTTGTAAACAATATGTTTCAGATCATCAAGGTTGCAACTGAAGTTCGCGTCTCCAATCAGGGGGATGGCTCTTTCCTGAGTGGAATCCAGCAACTTCAGGGTATGTTTGGGGTTCGGGATGTGTCCAACAATTTCTTTCATGAAATTTCTTCCTTTGGGTTTTTGTGCCCTCCATTATTTTTTTGAAAATGTTTTTAATTTTTTTTAATTATTTCCTACAGGCTGATTTATTTAAACAATTGTTTTTTGATAATCTTGTAATGAAAATCACCAAGCCATACTATTCCGACGGTCCAAAATAACTATTTCTTTCAGTATGGCAGTTGATTTGTGGTCAGTTTATGATACAGAGGGACAAAATTATATTCACCGTATTTCTAGTGCAGTACAAAAGTGGTACCATACTTCAAAAATTGCGTTTTTAAAACACGCCTATAGACGTAAAATTATTTCTCGCAGTATTGATATAAATTAAATCAAATTGTTCCAATACGAATATATGTTAAAAAAAATGCCATACTGTGATCATGGCATGAAAGACCGTAATATGCACGCTGCGATGTTTAAACGATTTCTTACAGTATGGCATTTCAATTTTTAAAAAGTTCATAAAAAGTATGATTCAGGAGAATTATGCATTATTTATGATGAAATCCAAAAGTGGTGCCATACCCAAAAAATTGATTTTCAGCTCCGTATAACAGCTCCAATTTGTACGAGACGTACAAGTACTCATAACGGTACGTTATGTATATTTTTTCTTTTAGTAATTAGTGCGCATCACCGGTTAAAACATGATTTTCATTTCACTTATTACGTATATGAACCCCCTAAAAGCGCCATACTGTAAGAAATAACTTACCAAAATTTTCCACAATCCTCCGGTCTATAACTAATTTTCAACACAACATTCTATATATTATATAATCTAAAACAGTAACTTCTAATCTAGATCAGAAAATTTTATTTCTGAATCACATAATTATTGTAGTCTTCCTCTGCATCATATCAACTATCTATTTCTATTGAACAGTAAAGTTCATTCAAAACGTATACATTTTTCTAGTTCCAACACGTTTTGCATTCATTATATCTGATGAATTGATTGTACAAAACTTCAGTGGTGACATTTTTATTTTGAATATAATAATGCTACTTACATAACTTGTCTCCATATGTGGAAGCAGAGAACATTCAGCCAGAAGAATGAATAAAGAAAGGAAAAGTACATCACATAAGCCATTAGGTGGCAAGGTATTGTTTCAAGGTAGTCTGAAAGATTAATTATGGCCAATATCGAAAATCCCATACCTAGGCCAGATATGGAGTGGATTATACATATTCCCTGAAAAATAATTAGCATTTCATCCAAACTACTTTCAATAAAGTAATAATTTGTATGCACTAATCGTAAAGGTGATGGCATCTTTCCTCACGTACATCTCAAAAAATCCAGAAACAAAGCATTCGGGATCCCTTACCAGACTCGCCAAAGGTGACTTCAGAGGTTTTATCTTGAAACACGAATGCATTGCTGGACTCAATTGTCCTCATAAAGTGAAGGCGATGACATTTCTCCTTACGAAGACACCAACTTGCAGTTAAAGCTACAGTGAAAGACAGAGGATAAGTTTCGATCGGCAGTTTTGCAAAACTATCTTTAGGAGCCACGTTTACCTTTAATATTCGTGAATTGATATCTATGTCGATCCTAAAGATGATATTTCAGTAAGGAGAGGTGTCACTCACGCCTTCACTCAGTCAAACTTGTGATTTGTGGACAACAGTGCATTTGTGGTTCAAGAAAATAAATATTTCCAAATAAAACTTCATCATAAACATTCATCTCTCCAAACATGCCTAGAGAGTTGGTTCTGGTAACTGCCTTCCGGAAAACAACTACTTCCTCGGTTAATAACACGTTGGATATTGAATTATATCCGACAGACATTCATGCAGGATACCTCACAGAGGTTAGTCTTGCAGATATTTCTCGTTCATTCAGCAGCATGACCACGCTGAAAGCAATCGAGTAAATCACCTACCAGCTTCGAGGTTATACCTCTCACCAGTGCAGGCAAGATCCGACCGAAACAGCAAAGGCCTGGGACTCGGTTAATTTTAACGCGACTCGACTGCATGTATGAAACCTTCATCTAAAGGTACGTATTCACCAAAAAAGCGAGCACGAGCGAGCATGTGCGAGCATTCGTGTATGTTTGCTCGTGTTCGTTCATGTTTGCTCGACATATTGATGTCTCGTCAACATCAGAGTGAATATCTTCAAGTTCGTAGTCGTAATTGATCCATCTACTTTGTGCGAGCACCTTTTGATGTATCTACCGCCTTCTTCTCGATCTTTTCTGAACGCAAACAAGCATACGTTCGCTCGCTCGTTGGCCCGTACTCACCAGACGATTATTGATGCAGAATGCTCATTCACTCTTGTTCGCTCGTGCTCGCTTTTTTGGTGAATTCGCACTTTAAGAGAAAGATTGTTAACAAGTAACAGCTCCATCTCGTGAACAAAGCACCAAGCGGCCAAGAAACATCTCATTCATCAATTAATTTCAATGTATGAAACTTTCATTCAAGAGAAAGACTGTTAACTAGTAACAGCTCCATTTGTCAAAAACGTAATTGCATTTTCGGTTGACACTTCCTGTTTGAATCCAAACTGTTTATGTATGTTCAGAAATCCAAAAAAAAATCTGAGAATATTTCTATTACTTCCGAAATATTTGAAACGTTTTTTTTTGCTCATTTTCAGGGAGGCAGAAAAATGTTCCCTTCCAAAAATTCCATTTGTAATATAAGTACTTGTTTTTTTATGTATTCGGATATATTTTAGGCGTGATACCGCCTAAATAATCCATGGCTTTATTAGGTATGAGTTCAATTATTAGGTTTTCAACTTCCATTTCATCTGTGTTGTATAAAATATTGAGTCAATAATTATTTCATTCTTAACCACCGATATTGTTGTTTTTGATATGTTATTTGCCAACTTTGTCAATATTTGTGAAATATGTGTTGGAGCAGTTTGCAATTTTTTTTGTCAGTTAGCATTATTTTGTGAGAACTCGTCTGCACCACGTTCTTCAATTCAGTAATTTGGGTAGAAACTGATTCTATAATCATTTCATTTTGTTCTGATATTAAAGTCCTCAGTTCTTCGACTTCCATAGCAGTTTCAATATTTTGCACATGGACTATATAATTCAGCGAGTTGTAGCAGATATTCGATATGTAGTTTAGATTATTTCTTTCTGATTACTTACTGGATTTTTCAACTTCACTTTCAAGTTATATATTCTCACTTTGTATGGTATGGAAATTTTAAAGTTTCATTCCGTTTTATTCGCTCACCTTATAACCATTCACTTGCGGGCTTCTATTAAATATACACGCTCGAACGATTTCAATAAACTATGTCCAAAATCATCAAGGATTTGATAAGTGTCTATCAGAAAAGAGAAAACTGTTTTGGAACACGGTAAAAAAAGCACCATTATTGCACAGATATCACTTTAATCTCCCTTCTACATGAGGATTAGATATTACACCGGTCTATCGCCAGATACACCAAACTGAGATTAACGCCTGTGGGAATTATTATTTTCTGTAGGAACTCAATTTTATTTTTAAAACAGTCGATAAAGTTGATGACACCTTCGAAAAACAATATGAATGCCTAATTATTTATCTACCCACGTGAAAACGGGACACCTCCCTAAAATTTGCATCTTTTCTCCGATTTCGAAGAACTTCATTTTGAACAGTAGAGCTCAAAAAACTTTACTTATATCCATACGGCAAGCAGCGGAAGAATTCACCCTTTAACCACCCTGTAACCAACTTTAGGTGAATCACCTAAAGTTGGTTACAATCCACACACTAGAATCCTCTCTACGGCATAAGAAGAAGCGTTTTTGAAATAAATTCGTCTCTCAGCAACGATTCACTTTGGTCTGACTCCCAAGTAAATATGAAAGCTTTTAAGTTATTTCTTGCAGTTTGAATCAAACGTTTCATTTATAATCAATTTTATACAGGTGTTTCAATTCTGCACTAAAAATAGTACGCCTGTTCCGGACCAATGGGTACAGGGAGGACTGGCTGGCAAAGATTGGTTCAAAAATGTTATGCACAGACATTCACCAGACAACCCCAGAGGAGACCAGCTGAGCACGTGCTATCAATTTCAATAAAATGAATGACAACCTGGGGCGTTTACTGGAAAGACATGAATTACAAGAGGCTGAAATATACAATGTCGATTAAACGGGAGTTACTACCGTGTAAAAGCCTTGAAAAATTGTGGCAGTAAAAGATTAAGCAGATCGGTGCAGCTACTTCTGGAGAACAAGGTACACAAATAACTGTCTGAACTGCAGTTAATGCTGTGGGAAACCCTATACCACGTTTATTTATTTTCCCTCGCAAGAAATTTCAGTCATTTCATATAAACAATGGAGCACCAGGATGTACAGGTGAGGGCAACGGCTCGGGATGGATGAATGAGGAGACATTTTTTAGGCTTTATGAAACATTCCATATATCGTGTTAGGCCAACAAAGAAAGAAAGTGTTACTTCTACTTGACAACCATGACTCTCCGCTATTTATAAAAATTATCGAATTGTACATAGAAAATGAAGTGATTCTCTTGTCCATTTCCACCGCATACATACCACAAACTGCAACCTGTGGATCGTGGGGTGTATGGCCCATTTAGGCACTACGAAAACATAGCTATGGATAATTGAAATAAGTGTCTTCCCGGTCAGATAATGATAATTTATGTTCTACCAGAGATTGTCGCAGAAGCTTCTCCCAAAGCAACTAGCCCGACTAATACAGCAGCCGGTTTTAAAGTGTCTGGTATTTGGCCGTTTAATAGGAATATTTTTAGAGATGATGAATATGCGCCCTCTTCTGTTACTGATAAACTTCTGATGCCACAACAAAAAATAAACACCAAATCAAAACAAGATCCTCTCAAATGGTGGTTCACCAAATTTCATCAAAAATTTTCAATATTGATAATTCTGTGGTCGAATGAAAAAAATATTATGAATTAAGTAACTCAAGTACCTATCTGATGGACTGAAAAGTAAAATAGACATTGAGTAATCGTTGATAACTATGTGGCAAATTAAATAAACGAATGAACAACTACCATTTCAGACCAATGTATGCATAACTGGGGATTTTAATTTTTCTGATCTTGAATGTGCATATATTCAAGAACATTTCTTTTTTCATTGAACAAATGCAAATGGAGGATCCCACCTGCATTATGCAGTATTCTGCAACTACAATTTGTATGGTAATTTTTAGCAGATTCCTTGTGAGATACTATTTCAATACTACAGTTCAACAACCAAGTATTCAGCTTTGTCATTCTGTCAAATTGGTATTTTCTGAAAGTATTCCATTTTTTTATCAACCTTCTTTGGATATTTTCACCTTCCACAAAAAACTCTTTTGACATCTGGAACAGAAATAGAAATAATCAGCAAAGGAAGAGCTGAGTATAGACTTTAATTTAGGTTCTAATTTTCAT